CCAGCCTGATGAGAGCCCGGGCTCCTTCACAGACGCCCCCATCAGAGCAGCTGCCCAACCCCGGCCGGAAGCAGCGGCGCTGTGCACGGCCTCCTCCCCATCCTCCCGAGTCGGGCTCGCACAGCCCTCGATGACGCGTGCCTGAGGCCGGAACTGCCCGCCAGCCCGCTGTGAGACCTACGGGCACTGCTGCCTTCACTGGGCCGTTCCCTCACCCAGAAGGCGGGCCGATGACATGAGACAATGCCCGCGAGCCCCGGCACGAAGCCTGGGCTCGGGAAGTGCTCCAGAGTCCCCGCCAGGCATGTGCCGCGCGCAGCCTGTCACTCACCCTGCCGGCACGGAGTCGCCCGGGCGCCGTGCCATGTGCATCCGGCTGCGCCGGGCCGGCCGGCTTCAGGATGGGGCTGGAAGCCAGGCAAGGGCGATCACGCCTCACCTCCCGAGACCTGGCAGGCAGGCAGGCTCCCTTCCTCAGGTCCCCAACACCCCTGCTCCCCGGGGGGCTGCACCGGCTCTGAGAGGGAGCTCCTGGGGCGGGGGAGGGGCGGGGGCGCAGTCACACAGACAGGCCGCCTGCCCTCGGAGGGCTGCTTCCTGAGCAGAGTCCATTCCCAACACTCCCAGCAGCCAGTGGGACAGGTGAGCCCATGTTCCTGGCCACAGCGATGGCACGTGGGGCCTTGGCGGGACTGTTCCCTGCACGTGGTGCTCTGGCCAGAGCAGCCCATTTCACAGAGCACCCCTCAGCTTGGCAGGAAAAGATGCAGACAAGGGTCCTTCCCCCAATAGCTCATTCTGTCTCAAGTTCAAAGTGGGATGAAGAGGATCACCTGGAAAAATGTCGCTTTAATTTCAAATCATTTTTACGCCCGTTTCATCTGACCGAGCTTTGAAAGCAAAGGCAATCTTTATCACTGAGGTCTTCAAGCTTAACTGATGTGACGTCCAATGTAACCAGATGCTTCTAAAAGCCAATCTCCACAATGACATCAGCCCCGAATGAAAACCCTTCCTTCTGGCTGCTAATGAATGATTAGCACACTGTCCCCATGGGGCATGGCCAAGACCAGCTCCTCGGGGCTCCACTATCGCCCTCAGTCCCCTGGGCCTCGCTCCCGGAGCAGCCGGCCTCACTCAGCGGTCTCCGTCCTCAGCGATCAGGTGAGAGCTGGTCAGTCACCCCCTCCTCTGTGGGCACGTGACCTGTCTGGGCCAATGCGGCTTGAGGTGGAAGCTGCTGGCAGTGGTCCCTGGAGGTGTCCTGTTCCACAGGGACCAGGGAGGCCTCTGCTCCGCTGTGGGCGGGGCGCAGACGTGGAGGCGGCAGGCTGCCCTGCACGAGCCAGGCGTGGCGCGTAAGACACAGCCCAAGACCCCTCCTTTCCCACGGTCCCAGTTCCCTGTCGTCATCCATGGTCCCCAATGTTACATGGAAAATTCCAGAATGAACAGGGCCTGAGTTTTAAGTTGCGCACCGTTCTGAGTATCACGGTGCAGCCTGGCACCTCCGGCCTGTCCCGCTGGGACGCGAGCCCCCCTCGTCCAGCACCCACGCTGAGGGCGGGGCTGGTGCTCCCGTGACCCCTCCTTACTTAGCGATGGCCCGAGCCGCAGGGCACTGCTCTCACGTAGGTTCCCGTCACTGCTGTTTATTGTCAGTCACTGTGAGCATCTTCCGGTGCCTGATTGACAAGCTAACCGGCCCCTAGGCCTGCATGTGAGGGAAACAGAGCCTCGTACTAGCTGTACTGGCCGGGGCGGCCCCCTCGGAACACGCCCTCGAGGATAAAGGGGACAACTAGCTGCACCTGGTCTCTGCCCCACCCTGGCAGAGCTCCTACAACCCTGGGGACTCTCAGGGGACAGCACCCTTTGCCTCATAGCCGCCCCTTTCACCCAAATGTGAGGCTGTGCAACCAGGGGTTGGGGGTCCCCAGGCAGCTCCAGGTGCTGAGGGGTTGGCACTCCCAGCTCTGCCCCCACCTACAGGGGGAGAGAGGAGCTGGAGGCTGTCGATCACCAACAGCCAGTGACGTAATCAAGCAGCAGAACCTCACAGAACCGGTAAACAGCACAGGTGCTGGAGGGCGGGACTCCGAGCAGGCGGGCACCCGCCCCACCCTGCCCAGCGCCTCCCGCCTAAGCTCTGGCTGCAGCCTTCAGCCTTCCCAGTAAACCAGCCACCAGAAGCCAGCACTTCCTGAGTTGTCTGAGTCGCTTAGCGAATTATTAAATGGGGGGATGAGGGAACCCCTGAATCTGTAGGCAGACAGAACTGCGGGTCACCTGGGGACCCGATGCTCATGACTGGAGTCGAAGGGGGCAGCCCCTGTGCCTGCGGGGTCTGCGCTGACTCGGGAGTTAGTGTGAGAACCGAAGGGAACGGCCGGGTGTCAGAGGCGGGAGGATGGTGCTGGGAACACGGCGCGGGGGTGACAGGAGGAGAGCGCCACCCCGGGCTTGGGGCACCCACGCAGCTGCT